AGTCTTCCTGTGGGCAGAGCCTAGGAATTTGTATTCTTAACCAACTTTCCAGAAGATTCTTTTACAAACTGATATGTGAAAACCGCTGTATTTATTTTGCCATCTTTGTTCCAGGGTTTGGCTTATGAGTTTGGGTATTACCGTTTTTAACAAGCAGTAAAAATCATCTATTCATTCAATAAACATTTATTAAGGTCTTACTGTGTTTCATGTACTGTGATAAAGAATACAGGAAGGTTAAAAAATGGAATCTCCCCCCACCACCCAAAGTTCACAGTCTCTGGTAGGGGAAATGCATGCTAGATGCCATAAGTAACCATAATGTCAGGTACCTAGGAGAGGCTTAGGCCAGTTGCTAGAGGCAGTAAGAAGGGGTGAGCTCTTCCTTAACTAGATCTATCAGAATTTCACAGAAGAGGCGGCATTCGAGTTGGACCTTCAAGAATGTGTAGGGTTTGCAGAGATGTGGAAGGTCCTTCCAGGCAGGAATCAGTATCTGCTCAGACACAGAAGCAAGCGGTGTGGTCATCCCACCTTCACTTTCGAATGGAGCATTAAGAGAAGAAGGGGAAGAAGAGCGGGCAGCTAGGCTGGGGCCTGATCACAGAGGTCCTAGAATTAAACAGGCCACGTGGGAAATGGATCTGGTATATGATGTGAATGCCAGTGAGAGTTCTGCCCAGGGGAGTGATGCAATCAGACCTGTGTATGTGAATCTGGCAGCAGTCATTTCACGAACAAGGATTGAGCACCTCCGGCGGGGGGGTACCAGGCATCACACCAGATGATGGGAATACATAAATTGTGACTACTTGGTTGCTGAATTGAGGGAATATGGTCTTAGCAGCAGCAGTGTGCGTGGAGCGGGTGACCTAGGAAATGGGGAGGAAGAGATAAATTTGTACCTCTCAGGTGAAGAGTATCAGAACTGTGGTCTATCAGTTGTCTATTACGGGTTAAAATCACCCTGCCACCCATGGCTTAAAACAATACACATTTCTTCTTGCTCCTGTGTGTACGGGTCCACTGGGCCAGGCTTCCGTGACCTCGGCTGGTATGCTGAGGTGTCTGCAGTGGTCATCTGGGGCTCGCTGCTCTAGGGTGACCTCCTTCACATGCCTGACTGACTGTTGTCTGATGCGATGGTGGAGACTGGGCCGTACGTGACTTATCATCCAGCAGGCCAGCCCAGGCTCGTTCACAAGGCCTCAGCACGAGGGTTCCAAGGGAGAGTGTGGAAACAAGTGAGACTTATGCTGATGCATTGTGAGTTCCACTGTATTTTGTTACTGAAGCAAGTCATGAGACCAGACAAGATTCATGGGATAGGGAAATAGACTCCATCTCTTCATGGGAGGAGCTGCAGAGTCACATAGCAAAGGGGATGCACAGAAGGAGAGGTGGATAATTGGGGCCATTCTTGTAATCACTAGATTCAGTGGACTATCGGTATTACAGTCACTGCAAGCATGCCTTAGCCTTGGAATCCTAACCTCTGGGGCAGGGCCCCAGCAGCTGTCTTTTAACAAATTCTCAAGGTTAGTCCTGTGCACACAGCTGCTTAGTCACTCCCAGGTGAGACATGAAATATTACTGGAGGTAAGGATATTGTGTATTTAATTTAATTTGAAACAAGCCATAATCTTAACAGAACTGTGGTCTGATGTGTTATCTTGGATTGTCCATTGCATGTAAATACGATATGCTCTCTTGGATGTAAATCTTAGAAATACAGTAGGAATGTCATCATTGATAAAAATATTAATCCCAGTCTACCACACACACACAAAAAAGTTAAGTAAGTCAGGGCAAACCTACTAATCATGAACTTTGTACAAAACTTTATTTAGTACCACAAAGGGATAACAGGAGGGAATATTTTGGAGTGATGGAATTATTCTGTATCTTGGTTGTTGCGATGGATACACAACTCTTTGCATTTGTCAAAACTCACCTAACTATATCCCACAAAGAGTACATTTTCCTAAAAAGGAATTTTAAAAGAAGTAAATAAAAATTAACAAGAAGCCAATGAAATAACTGGTAGCCTTGCAAAGATCATCAAGCACCGTAAACCATTAGTTAAAAGGTTGTTTAGAAACCGGACATTGTATCACTGATTCACTTTGCTGTACACCTGAAGCTAGCACAACGTTGTGAATCATCTGTACTCCAATAAAAAGTAAAAAAGAAACGGGACATTCACATGGTGATAAAGTATCACCTCATAGAGGACGTGCTAATTGGAGCGGGAAACAGATTTGACAATCACCACCTGAATCCAGCAATCAAACATGGCGGCATTGTTGGTGGGAGGGCCTGATATTGTGTGTCTCCTGATATGATGCCATATGAGGAACACAGCACCGTCTATGACATATTCTTACTAAAAATGTTTAGCCTGACTCTAATTAAGTCTTCCAATGTAAGGGGTCCATATACAGGAAATACATGGAATAGAGGAATAAGTTGAGAAATCAGATAAAACGTGAGGTTTCTACAATTCAGTGAGACTGGTCTCCTGGGTGGGGGAGGGGAACAGTATCATACAAAAAGCAGGATGTGATTTTATATTAAAAGGAAATAACAAGCAAATATAACGTGAGAACCTTGAAAAACTGGTTCTTATAAAAGAAAAATTTTGAGGAAACAGGAGAATTTTGTGTTTGGACTAGATATTAGATGTTATTTGGGAAATTAGCTTTCTTTGGTATTATGGATAAGTAGCAGAAAGTCCCTGATTCTTGGGAGATACCCACTGAAGTATTTAGAAGCAAAATAATATGTCTGCAACTTACTTTCAATTTTTAGCCGAAACAACTCTCTCTGCTCTCTCCTTTCCTGTCTTCTCTCATTCTTTCACTCACTCACTTCCCCCCTTCATAAGTTCTACATTCAAATAAGTTTGGGAAACTGCAAACTATACCCCCTTGAAGATCCAGAATGGCACTATTATACTGGCAATTCTAATTAGTTCTACAATTAAGAAACCAATTTATTAAATTAATGTTTTCCAAACTTATTTGACCACAGAATTTCATTTTAAGTGGATGTTTTAAGAGCATATGGAACTAGTTCCAATGAAACTGATCTGAAGAGACTCCTTGAAGTGCATTATACAGTAACGGGTGACAGCAAAGGAAATAGCTTTGCAAATTGTTTATATTAATTTCAATTTTATTTTCCTTAAAAAACTTCATGACTGTCTTATTAAGAGTGAGAAACCAAGGAGACATTTTTTTAAATGGCCTTTATTACTTTTTAGCCTTTTTTTTCGGTGGAAGGATATTTGGTTTGAGTTTATTTTATAAAAGTTGACCATATGATATGTACTATTTTGAACCTTACTTTTTTTCATTCAGTATTATGTTGTAATCATTTTTTCACACCACTAAAATTTTTTGAACATACAGTTCCTCCATATATTTATATATTTTCTTAAACTTATACCTAAGTCTTTCCTTCTTTCTTCCTTTCTTTCTTTCTTTCTTTCTTTCTTTCTTTCTTTCTTTCTTTCTTTCTTTCTTTCTTTCTTTCTGCAGGGGGAGGTATGCTATTAAAAATAGTATTTTTTATTCTATATCTGTAGACATTATTATATACTTTTTCTTCTTTAGTCTATTGACATACTAAATTATTTTGATTTTCAAACTTGAAGCAGGTTTGTATTCTCAGGATAAATCTCACCTGGTTGTGATATTTTATGGACCATCCTGGTGAAAATGCCACGTGCACCTGAAAAGAATGTGTGTTCTGCTCTCCTTGGGTGGAGTGTTTTCCAAATGTTAGTTAGATTAATTGAGTTGATAGTGTTGCCCAGATCTTCTAATCCCTATGGATTATCTGTCTACTTGTTCTACTGAGCACTGTGAGTATTTTGAATTATGTAGAATTACTGTGAGTAATACTGAGTAGGTACTGTATGGTCCCCTCAGTGCATCAAAGACTTCGAATTCCTCTAATGTTACCTTGTTTTTAGGGTGGGGGCTGATTTGCCAGAGTGCCTCTCAATGTCTACTTGAACTTCAGTTGTGAGTCTTTGTGCTGCATCTGGGATAGGTACTCCATCCCCTCCGTCGCCCCTCCCCCGCTGGCACACTGCTATTACTTGTTAGCCTGTGCTTTTTAGTTTGGTGGTGGAGACCAGTGCCGGGGGGTGCCCTGATTAAGCCTTAGTCCACGCAGTCACTGTGTCCCTCGGTTTGGAGGTGTGGCCTTCTCAGTATCCTTGCCCCTCTCCCCAGTTTAGAGGGTTTTTTTTTTTTTTTTTCTCCTCTTCCCTTCTCTAAGCTGCAGGAGGTTTTCACCATTTCCTTAAGGGAAACTTGGCTTTCGCCTTTCTCCCAGGCATTTAAGTCTTTTGTTCCTTAGGGACGATAGGGAAGAAGGATCTAGGCAGCCTTTCCTGCAGTGGCTGCTGTTCTTTCCCTCAGGACTGTGCTGGGAATGACAGAGGACAAAGGACACTTTCTCTGAGCTCACATATGTCTTTTGCAAGGGCCACATGAGGTCCTGAGA